GATTTTGGTCCAAGTCAACTTTATTTTACCCTTAACCGGAAATAACCAATTACCAATTCCAAAAATCAAACCGAAACTGATTCGGTTTGGAAACTGGTTCTGACCTAACCGTTGATTATGGTGCGGTACGATCTAGTAAACGTTGATGACTTTCATTGTTTCAAGATATATTTTTTTTAATGTCAAGCTTTATAGATGAGTTTATATAATCTTTACTTATACAAATACTAGTTTCATTGCATCTCATACAAACGACCATAATATCACAAACCCCTAATACATTCAATACCAAGATGGAACTCTTGTACCATCTATACACACAGTAACAGTTAATCAGAATCCTTTGTGATTTTTTCCGGGAGACTTTTTTGGTGATGTTGTCAGTACCGTTGATGCCCCGATCGACCTGAGGTTCTCCAGTAATGTGTCTCGTCCTGATAACAAAATCTTGAAGAAACAATCTACTTCTTTCGAAACAAGATCTAGCCCATTCGATAGTTCTGTTACCGAATCCTTCAATGGCTGCAGCGATAACGGATCTACTGATCCTTGCTGGATCGCAGGGTAAAGTTTCTTAACACCAGAATCAACTGCCTCTAGCTCTTTCAGAACTGTTAACCCGTCTGATAAAAATATGTATTTGATTTCTGCGTTTATGGTGTTCTGCATTTCCATGAAGGATTGTGCCCATGGAAGCTCGTTTGCGACGGGGAGGTAAAACAGATTCTGCGATGAACCTGAGAACGCTGCAGCAAAAACACCGGAAATGTATAAAGTCTTGACCTTTACACCGTATAGAGCTCGCATCAGAACTTTTCCTTCGGCCGAGTTTTTCACCTTGGGAAGATTCAAGGTTTGGACAAGGCTGCTCAAGATCGCACGGCAATTCTCGATTCTCGGGTTCTTGGAAGCAATGTGTTGCTTCCAGCTGTCTAGAGATGATTGAGCTTTCGACAGATTCTGAGGAGAGTTTGTCTCCAAGTTATGCAAAGCAAACTGAAGTAAGAGATGACCTTGGTTGAGACGGGATAACTCCGAGCTAAAGGCATTGCAGAGATCAAGAAGCTTCACGCTTATGTCAAGATAGACATCAACCCATTTATCCTCCCAATCTGATACCGGAAGCCCTAAATCAGTTATAAGGGTCTTGATACCATTATGTGTTTGACAAAGAGATTCCATTGCTTGTTTCATCCATGAAACAGTCAGGATTTCACTCTTTTCCTTTGGTACAAGCTTACTAATTGAAGTTGCTAAGTTCCCCTCGAAATTGTTCAACAGGGAGAGAAGTTTCGAGGATAATACCGGATTCTTCGAAGATAGATTCTTGAACGGGTTTCCGAAGGGGAAGAAACCGCGTGGAGGGTCTTGTGGACGAGCCATTTCGTTAAGTTTCACCTGACCAAACAACAGCACAAGAAAGAAGAACAAAGAAAACATATCAAATTAGCAGCCAAAGACAAATCTTATTACTTAGATTACATTTTGCGTCCATACAAAAATCCAAGACAAAGATCAAACTGTGTATTAGCACTTTCACTCGGAAAAATTTAGTCTTTTGGATTTACAAGTATGGATCTTTTCTCAACAGATCTAATACAAGGTAATGAAATCTTCCGTATAAAGTAACACAAACAACATCAGATCCGTTCTTCGATTAAAATTGGAACTCATACAAAAGTCAACGAAAAAACTAGATCTTAAATCAACAACTCAAGGGTATAAATCCATTTTGCTTCTGTATATAAAGCAAAACCCAGATCTTAAAATCTAACCCATGTCGAAATTCACATAGAAAAGAGATCAAATACACCAAATCTAACACAGGATTATCATTA